TATTATCAACCAGGGTCCTGTACTTAAAATTATAAAAGTTGTAAACTCTATAATATAAACTCCTATATATTATGGCACCTTATATAAGCCGGCGCCATCATACGAGCAATTTTGTCAGAGATTTTCTCCTCCCGATAAATGCGAACGAGTGAACTCGCAGCCAACTTGCCTTTTCCATGTCACTCATTAAGTCACATCCGCCAGGAGGGAAAAAATCGCAGACGAAATTGCCAGCCAGATATCTGGCATGCAACGTCACATATAGACAACAAAATGTAATACTAACTTCAACCACATTCTACATTTCGTGTAAATATTTATGTTTTATAATAGGATTATCAGGTGCAAACCACAAGGAAATCACGCTATGTTTAAGACTAAGTTGCTGCTGGCAAAAATTGTATACGCGTCTTAGTGTATAAACACAATTGACGAACTATCAAAACGAACAAGCTAGAACAGCGTGATTTACACTGGCGATATAGTTCGGGAACAAATCATGTCCTAAAACAGTATTTTCGATCATAGCGTCAAGCAAAAAATTCCAAAAATGATGATTTTTGTGTGTGTTGGTGTGATGTACTCAGGTGAATATGATGTTTGTGACGTTACTCTGAGTGTGCATAAACTTCAAAAAATTATGTTTTGTGATATGTGACCCTGGCCGACTATAAGAAGACTATAACCACAAACTCACACGAACACAGTTTATAATCCAGCCCCCCTCGGCAATCTGACGCGTCCTGTTAACAAAAACGTCTCTCGCTTAAGCTCCCTAAATCCTAATGACATATTTTTTTGTCGTTTGAATCACTCCGTTTTTGTATCGCTCGAGCATCACATCTCATATACGACGCCGTGTGAAACAAATTAGAATCAGACTAGAATCAAATTAGAATTAGAACAGAAAACAAATTAGAATCTGACTAGCATCAAATTAGAATTAGAACAGAAAACAAATTAGAATCAGACAACTGTATATATTGTATATGGTACGGAACAAGCGCATTCACCATAACCACTAACCGCTGTGTTAATACTCCCACCTTTGAGATATCTTTCTTCCAAAATCCTTGGTGTGTTTTATATCATGGCAATTGGACTGTTTATTTTATGGACTTACAAATTGACCAAATAAAAGAATAATCCTTATATTTGCCGCATTAAAACATCATTAAACGATTAAATCGAACTGACAATTGAGACATGTCAAGTAAATATGTTAAATATTTTTTGCGCAACATTTTTAGGCAACGCAAAAATTTCATTGAATTATGTAGTATACTAAAACCAAATGCGCTTTCTTTACTTTATATTTTTAATTCTGGCACGAATTACTAGAAATGGATTAACCGACAACCGTCTGCAATCATCCGTGTGACAGATCACGCGTCTTTGTGTATAAACACAATTGACGAACTACCCAAACGAACAAGCTAGAACAGCGTGATTTACACTGGCGATAGTTCGGGAACAAATCATGTCTGAATAATTGATATTTTTTTATAGTTCGTCATAATATCGTATTAATTTATATACAAAGGCGGATCAACTGTCAAGACGAACAATTACGTAAGAAAGTTCTTATCTCAGTAGGGCCTGTAGGGGAACTACGCAGTTAGTGGAACTTAATGTCGAACATCATGTATGTTTGCCATGACACATCATGACAACATGACATATCAGACCAACTATATCTATTCTTTGTTCATCCGGACGAGTCGACAGCACAAATTGAAGCATCATGTATGCGCGTCGCTGCCCAAAACGAACAATTCGCCAGTTGCTGGATATATGCATGTTTGACAGATGTTTACACAGAAGACATCTCGACATTGTGACCGCAAATAATAACCTCAGAGGCTCAAGCAATCTAATTTTGCGTGGGGTTTCTCATATGGCCGGCGCACTATATAAATGAATCAGAAACAATTGATTTGCTAAGAATTTTTTAGAATTATCCTATACGCGGTGCGTCCCATCAACACACACGCCGCGCGCTAACAAATTTCAGACATTTTCAGCATTCATTTTTTTTGTATTTTCATCAAGGATCTAGACACATCCACATTATACACGAGATATTCTGGTGATTTACTAGTCATCATAGTCATGTGACGCACAGCCTTTAAACTCTATCTCAGAACCAATCAGGAAAATATGTATATGTATTGAGAGCTATATTCAATAATTCAAAGTGATAAGCACATATCAAATTCGCCTATTTCGCCATAGATCTAAATCATAATGCTCCAATGTTAGCGCGTACGTAAGAGATATATCAAAATTATAAATATTTAAATGATATTTGAAGTATTATCAAGTATTGTCCCTGCTCAGCTAAGCCAATTTGACAAGAAATATTAAGTTATCATAAAATACAATCAGAAAAAACATAACGCTGTATATTGACAATATAACGTTCACTCAACCGGATTCAAATTTATGAATTTAGCGAACTCGCGTTTCATGGCACAGATATTTTAGCGACTTATATACAACTTAAAGATTATTCTGAGCATGAAATTTAAGAAATTCTTGGGATAGCACAACAGTGTTTCAACTTTCAGGACCGTCATCGGGGGAATTTGATAACACATATTACACAAGTGAATCATATCAATGAATGATTAAGCAAACTTACATTGATCGACACTTCAATATCGATGTACTCTTTGGTATAACACAACACTGACTTCTCAAGCTTGTGATCACAGACACTACAGTATGAACTGCGCTCTTCCAATGCGCAATCTTCTTATGTCTAAACAAGGAGGAACAAGGCGCAGATTATGCAAAGGTCAGGAAATAATCAACGACGCAGATTGAGGAATAGGAAACCAAACCTAACCCCCCGCAGGTTTGGACTTAAAAGCGCAGGTAATGACACGTGGTAATGATAATCTGCATGTTGGATCATTGACAGCTCGTAGCAAGAATCTGATACCTGAATAACATTTTGAAACGCTTATAATATAATATTTTACTTTTTATATAATAACTACAGTGAAACACGCAATTTGATTGGTCAATAGCCGTGCAGGATCAGGCTATCCTGTACGAGGAATTAAAATGCCTTCGCGGGATTTTCAAAATGTCATTGTTTCACTGTAGTTATTTTATAAAACAATGACCAAATGGTTTTCCAAGCAGGATAGCGTGATCCATGCACTTGGGATGTTGCTCGACTTTCGGAAAGCGTAAAAATACACTCGCCTACGGCTCGAGTATTTTTACGCTTTCCGAAAGTCTCGCGACATCCCTCGTGCATGGATCACGCAATCCTGCACGGAAAACCATTCGGTATTCCTTTAATACTCTTCCAAGCTTATCAGCGTGAAAAAATTAATACACTATGACATTTCGATTTTCCTCAGGAAAATTCGTTTCTCCTGTTTTGTCGATTTAGTTTTAGGCAAGATCAAAAAATAAGAAATGAAATCATATCATAAATTATTAAATATACATACTATAGACGTATAGTTTGTAGGGTTTTTTTACCTCAAAAGGTTGCCAGAACAGTCTGTTTCATCCAAGATGAATCATCAGGTGAGCCACGTACACTGATGCAGTATATCTCTGAGCTATCTATATGATATCGTCACATCGAGCACTCCTCAGCACGATTTCGTGAACCAAAACCCAGACTTTAGTTTGGTAATTTATATTACACAATTTACAATTTCAAGCTCTATACTAGTGTATACGAAGATAGCTCTATACTTGGTATAGTTCTAATACCGTAATACGAGCTTTTATAGCTTTATATACTTGATTCTTCTGAAGATGACTTAAATTATAGTCGAAACGTAACGAATAACATGGTTACAATTTTCGGAGTGTCTGTTGTTTTGTGTTTTATTAAAACACTGAATACGTTACAGCAGTTCCCAATTTTTTTAACTTTTAATTTACGAGCTTTGTCATAAATGACTGGTGATCCCTACAGGGCTTATTGCCCCATTCACAGGGTCCCTAGGGTCCCTTAGTTCCCTCATACAGGGCGTTTCCTCCTGTGGACTAAATGCTGCAGCGAGCCGCCAAGACGGAAAAAGGAAAAACTGTGACCCACGTTGAAAACTCGTGGGAGTGCGTCTATGTAAAGGCAAGTTTATACACGATTTGTCGGGCCGATTCAGTTTTAATTAAATGATATTTGAAAAACACGCTGTCAACGTCATCTGGCGTCATCATCAACTGACAACAATGGATGAATTACCGGTTCGCAGGCCCCCTTTGTTTTGCGCGGCCAATTGCTCTCTGGCGATCTACATAATACATTGTATGCAATGTATTATGGGATCACCAGGGGGCAATTGGCCGCGAAAAACAAAGGGGGCCTGCGAACCGGCAACTCATCCATTGTCATTAACATTCGGCAAAACCTGAAATCAGCACTGAAATCGCAGCGTAGGGTAGTCAATGTCAAGTAGGGGTAGGAAGGGTCACTAGGGGGTGGTAGATCACCTGTGTACTATAACATCCGTACGGGTTAATCAGGGATGATAAATGATAGAACAGGATAAAAACGGCCTCGCAGAGGGTAACAATGTATAAAAAAAAACATGAATACAAACTATCACTACTTACAAACCTTTTCCAGACGAGCAAAAACACGGAATTTTTATCTTCTTTGTGTTGGAATGTCGCCCACACAACTTTTATATTTACTTTTCTGATAATCTTTAGCACATACCTTCAGACTGGTTCCTTTCATGTGAATATAAAAATATCACACCTGCATTCTCAAATCGTTGTTCTATTACAAATCAACATGCCTATTTAATCACAACTCAAAAAATGAATTTTTACATAAAATGAGAACTTTTAAATATATTGAAAAAATCATATTCAACCGCATTTCGCGTAAATAAAGTATCTAGATTCACTAAGCCTTTGATTCAGTGGGATTCTCTTGAAGTAAATCGGCAAATCATTCTATTTAGCATTCGAATGTTGACAAAAAGCAGCAAATAATTGGTTCAAAATGGTCTAAAATATAATCTATATTCAATAGTGCGCAATAATAAGCATTTGAAGTTATCAATAGAAACCCAATCTATATATGACTTGTATTAGAGCAGTGTATCCTTGACTATATATCTCCACCTATAATTACATAGTTTCATATATTCCGATGTTCATTTTGACTAGAATTTGCTGCGCAACTTTCTCCATTCAGAAATTAGAGATGGAATGTTCAACCACCTAATCAAGTGAATCTGTATTATATTATTCCTTAATGAAATATCGTGTCCGAAATATCTCGAGTAGTTATTCAGACAGTTGTATATATGCTGTGGGTACATAGCCCTCGTCATCTCCTTTTAATACCTGCGTCCAACCAGTATTGTCGATATCTCTTTCTAACACAATCAACTCCTCGCCTGCAGATACTGTTATCTCACCATCATTTGAACCTAAAATGATTTAATCAATCAATTAATTTTTTAATCGAATACCACAGATAACGCCTTTTTATCCATTCTAGAGATGATTTTTTTGTTTGAAAATCATACAGTACTGTACATAACATCATGTATGTCATCAGGGTTTTCAGTTTTGTGTGAAGCTCTGGCTAATGGCGATGAAACTATGGCGAAAGGGAAAAGCCTAGACTATGTAGACTGCATGCACCTCAGTTAAGCTTCACAATCATTCGTGCACATGGATTATATAAATTATTTGACATGGATTATATATATAAACGTAAAAGCTCTGGCGAATTTGAGTGGGGTTGAATGAAAAAGTCTGGCGAAATTCGCCGTTCGCCGGCCTAAACTCAAAACCCTGATGTCATCCTCCTAACTTTATTTATACTGGATAGCTCCATCGGTTCTAAACTGTTCGCCCTAGAGGACCAGTAAGGGTCATCTCTTATTGATCCACTAACTTTATTTATACTGGATTACTCTATCAGTTCTAAACTGTTTTCCCTAGAGGACCAGTAAGGATCATCTCTTATTGATCCAGTGTTACTACAGGAGGAAACCTAAACTAAACTAACTTTATTTATACTGGATAACTCTATCAGTTCTAAACTGTTCTCCCTCAAGATCCAGTAAAGGCTAGTTTCCACTCAGGAAAATTATCCGTGGATTGGAACGGACAAGAAAATTATTCTTTGTCTTGTGAGCTCTGGGCTGGAACTAATGACTTTAACACAAAAAAATTTTCTTGTCCGTTCCAATCCACGGATAGGTTTCCGGAGTGGAAATTAGCCTTAAGAGTCATCTCTTATTGAACCAGTGTTACTACAAGGGGAAACTACGGTAACTTTATTTATACTGCATGGATAGCTTTATCAGTTCTAAACCGTTGTCCGTAGAGGTCTGGTCATACCATCAACACATCTTACCTTGGAAATCATACAGTACATAACATCGAATATCATCTTCAAACTCTCCGTCATCTTGGTCCATCACAGCTGACCCCGGGGGAGGGGGAGGTTCGGGGATATTACCAGGAGGGTTTGCGACTCCATTCGCAGCTTGAGCAGGGGGGACACCTCCAGTTTGACCGGAGTAGAAAGGTTGACGGGGGGGAGGTTCGGAGTTCTGTAGAGCTGCCAAATAGCACTAAGAAGATAGATTGAAAAAAATTTGTTAGTTTTACTTGTAATATCAGTTAAAGCCCACACAGACCTTAAGTAAGTAAGTGGGGTGTGCTAATCATCCTTACTTGCAGCCATAGATATCTTATATACACTAGATAGTGCATCTAATTATTCTGCAATTCAAAAATTGAAGCCGTGATTGCAGACTCAGGATATTCCAATGAAATGAGAAGACTCGTATGTTTTCTATTTCTTAAACAGGGAACTTAAACATTAAGTTAAACCATAGGCAGCCCAAAACGGCGTGTAGAATGCACCAATAATGCTTCCAAATGTCAATTTGCATTAAGCTCGCCCCATTCCTTTGTCATTTGTCGCGCGCCGCAAGCACTCGATTGAAAAGCAGTGTTGATATATATAGATTATACCTATAGGTATAATCAGAATAATATATAGGTATAATCTATATATATCAACACTGCTTTTCAATCGAGTGCTTGCGGCGCGCGACAAATGACAAAGGAATGGGGCGAGCTTAATGCAAATTGACATTTGGAAGCATTATTGGTGCATTCTACACGCCGTTTTGGGCTGCCTATGGTTAAACCTATTACAAATACATTTTCAAACTATTCAAATGATGAAAGTTATTGTTGTTTTTTAAACGTTTATTAGCGAGTGGGAAACTCCAACATGGCCGCCATCTATTCAAATGTTGGTAACCGCTGGAATATTCTTGGCTTCAATTTTACTAAAAGAGATGCGCCATCTAGTGTATATAAGATATCTATGCTTGCAGTTGAGAGCTAAGCTGAATTACGAAGGACGCAGCTCAATCTGATCGAGTCGAAGGCTTTCTAAGGGCGCCTCTGCCAGCCACCTTATGAGTCATGTCTGATCACGGAGCACAGCTACGGTGGAATAATAATAATAATAATAGCTTTATTCATCCATCTTAAGATAAAAAAGTACAATGAACTTACAATTACTTGTTTAAGAAAGTATATATGCTGCGGATATGTCTTTATATTACAAATTGTTGTAAGATAATTTAGAAAACTAACTAAGAAGTTCAAACTAATAAATTCTTTAATCTAATAAGTTCTTCTAATAAGTTAAAACTATTTATACATATTTACAAGCTCTACCTGAAAATGAATGTTTATGCCTTTCAGTTCCTGAGAAGAATGATATATTGCGATTCCGGTCAATGTTCCTTAAATTGTACTGATTGTTAATTAATTTTGGCAAAACACTGCGACAGGGATGGTGTGGATCGTTCATAAACCTATCAACTTCTCGACTAGTTGCCTCTTCCCTTCTTTCGTTCAACGGTGGTAGGTAATCTTTTTCCAGGCCAAGGATTCTTAAGCTCCTGGATTGAACCCGCTCTATTTCATCTCGCAGGTAATTAGGGAGTCCCGCCCAGACAGGTGATGCATACTCGAGAATTGGTCTTATTTTGGATTGATAGGTAATAATACCGACTTCAGCTGGTAACTGCGATTTCCTGCATTCTCTAAGATGGTAAAGGCGTTTATTTGCTTTACGTGTAATCTCTTCAACATGTGCGTTCCATTTTAGATTATTTTGGAACGACACGCCAAGTAATTTAAAAGCGTTGACCCTTTCTATTAACTCATTTCCAATACGAAGACGTGGTGGTTCAGGTATAGCGTCCGTGAAAGAGATCCACATGTCCTTAGTTTTTTTAGCATTAATTGCCATTTTATTTAACACCGCCCAGTTATTTACTTCATTGATAGATTGTTGTAAATTACTATTAGAATCTACGCTCACTATTTGGTGTTGTGTGCAGTCATCTGCATACTTATTCGTACTGACTTTTAGTTGTTCTGGTAAGGCGTCCTCCAAATCATCAATGTAGGTATTAAAAATGGGGGATAATCCCTTCCTGTCAACTTTCCCTGTGGGAAGAAACCGGAGTACCCGGAGAAAACCCACGACTTTCGGTAGAGACTAACTCTTTTCACATAAGTGATATGAGTCGTACGTGAGGATCGAACGCACAGTCTGAGGGATGAAAGGCGCTTGTTCTGACGATTGCGCCACCCTATAACGTCTAAATTGCGAGCCTCACCCTCTGTCAGATCAAATAACGGAATTCGATATTAAACTGAGGTAAACCAGCCCGGGACAAGATGTACGAAGTCCAGATAGTGATTTTAGCAACGTTTCTAAAAATGCCTAAACTTTACACTGGATAGCTTTATCAGTTCTAAACTGTATTCACTAGAAGTCCAGTAAGGATAATCTCTTATTGATCCAGTGTTACTACAGGAGGAAACCTAAACTAAACTAACTTTATTTATACTGGATAGCTCTATCAGTTCTACACTGTTCTCCCTATAGGTCCAGTAAGGATCATGTCTTATTGATCCAGACAGTGTTACTACAGAAGCAAACCTAAACTACACTAACTTTACTTATACCAGATAACTCTATCAGTACTAAACTGTTCTTCCTAGAGATCCAGTAAATATCATCCTTAAGGCTAATTTCCACTCAGGAAAATTATCCGTGGATTGGAACGAACAAGAAAGTTTTTCTTTGTCTTGTGAGCTATGGGTTGGAACTAATGACTTTAACACAAAGAAAAAATTTTCTTGTCCGTTCCAATCCACGGATAATTTTCCTGAGTGGAAATTAGCCTTTACTGGTTCCACTGTTACTACAGGAGGAAATATTTACAATCAAAACGTACCTGATATTTATGTAATTCTTCATTACTCTTGTCCAGTGCCTTAGCGTTCACCTCCAGCTGTCCCTTGATGCTCTCCGGGTCTCCCAGTGCGTTGTTCTGACTGTAAACATCCATCATTTTCTCCAAACCTTGTCTTTCAGACCATAATGTCGCAGATTCAGCGCTATATTCTTCTATCTTCTTTTTACAAATGCGAGTTTTTTCTCCTGGGTTGAGGCTTTGGAAGTCGTTGCCATCGCCTACGTTCTAACGGAGGATAAATTGCATTGAAGGGGTCTTGTAGATGGAAATTATCAAGTGGAAATTTATATACATTTGTTAGACCTAACCAGGAACAGCTGCGAAAAATGCAACTATAGGTCCCTGACAGGAATCGAACCTGCGCCCTTGCGATTCCAGTGCAGCGTTTTAAGGAACTGAGGAGCACTGAGCTACAGAGGCCATGCAGTTGTCGAGCTCGAACAACATGTTCTTGATAGATTGCGTTCACTCGTTTTAGAATAGAGACAAATGATGGGTCTGAACTAATTTGGGGAAGGAAAAGAAACCTAAAGGCTAATTTCCACTCAGGAAAATTATCCGTGGATTGGAACGGACAAGAAAGTTTTTCTTTGTGTTGAAGTCATTAGTTCCAACCCAGAGCTCACAAGAAAAAAATTTTCTTGTCCATTCCAATCCACGAATAATTTTCCTGAGTGGAAATTAGCCTTAACCTAAACTAAACTAAACTAACTTTACTCATAAGAAAGCTTCAGATTGATAGGGATAAAAAAAAACACAAGGAGAACTTTGACGTTCCTAGCGAAGCTAGGCTCTTCGTTAGTAGACTCGAAACGCCGAAGTTCTCCTTGTATTTTTCAGGTAATTGAATCCCTTACAATCCAGAGCTTCCTTCTTATTGCCATTACCCACACTGGCTGTTCGAGACTTACCTTGGTACCTTTAAGCCCGTTCTCCACTACGCGAATTTGTTCGCGCGACGCGAAGCGAAAACCGAAATCCGGCAACGTGATTGGTCGGCGAAAAAATTCGCGGCGAAAAAGTAGGATCGCTTCCTACTTTTTATCTGTTCGCGCGAATAAATTCGCCTAGTGGAGAACGGGCTTTATTAGGTTTAGTGTTCATCTTAAACTCTCTATTATTGCCACTACCCACACTGGCTGTTTGAGAGTTACCTTTAGGTTTAGTGTTCATCTTAAACTCTCTATTGTTGCCACTACCCACACTGACTGTTTGAGACTTACCTTTAGGTTTAGTGTTCATCTTAAACTCTCTATTATTGCCACTACCCACACTGGCTGTTTGAGACTTACCTTGGTACCTTTGTTAGGTTTAGTTTTCACTTTTTTTGTTCTCTTCTTGTCCACAGGTGTCCCAGGCTGTTGTGTTGCAGGTTTACCATATTCTTCAAACGGAATATCTCCTGGTGGTGACAGACCCGTCTTGTTTGCATCTATCAACGTTTGAGAGTCCTAGAAGGGATATGTTTAAATCTATAGCGTGGTAGATTAGTGTAGTATGTGTAGGGTGATTGTGTTGCCTGAGATAATGGTCAGACATCTGTCATTTTCTGGTCCTGTGTGGGTTCATTGTGTCAATGTGGTACGTAGCCTGAGTATCAAGCCATATGTTTTCCCTTTCTTAGGTGCAGGTAGACGGACGGTAAAAGAGGGCCTGACAGAATATAAACTTTGCTGTGGGTGGAGAGCAACCGGATTAAGGTTTGGGTCAGGCTTTATCTGTAAAATAGATCCTGATACTCTGGCTATGTGGTAGCAAGTACAAGTGACCTGGGTCATACATACCTTAGGACCGTTAACAATCTGAGAAGAAGTCTTCATTCCTTCCAAACACTTGTTGATGATTGGAATGACTTTACTGTGGACTTCAGAATATTGCGAAAGTAGAACACCATACTTTGCCACCCTTTCCTCTTCCCCCTTCTGAAGGGCCTGGCAAATACAAAATGAACCCATTCAGCACCAGTGCACTCCCTTTGGTGATCAAGTGAACTTGTTCGACATTAGACAGAGTAAAATAATAAAGTAGAGTGCATTGTGGTGCAATGCAAATTAATGGGTTACAAGAATAATAACAAATCAAATGTCACGACCACAGAATTGTGCCACTTAAATTAGACAGGCCCATTTAAACACACCTCTTCAAAAGGCGGGCGGGCGGCAGCCAGTAAATTAGCTTAATTAATCCTATGTTACTAGGTTAATGTTAAATAATAATCCTCAAAGCATAATTCCCAACAACCTGTTTGAAAACATCAAAAAATCAACAGAAGTTATGTTTTCTAAAATTTTGAAAGGAACAAATCCTACAAATTAAAACAGCAGGTTAAATTTAATCCTACGTTGGCACTAATTCAGCTTTGAACAGCCAACAAATGAATGGAAATTTTCACTTACATCATTTAATTGTGGAAAGTTGGTAGAATAATGAAGTGTCTGACTGTTGTTAGTCTTGGTGAGTTGTTCACGATACGCTTCTTTTGCATTCTCACACTGCTGACCTTTCTCCATTGAGACGGATTTTAACTAGATGTTGAACAGAAAACAATCAGTGACTGATCGACTCTCTTAGGCATACAGGAAGGAAAAAGATAGGGTGCAGTAAGAAATCTCTCAGAGTTTTTGCAATTGTTGAAAGGGGTTAAAATTTTTGGAAACCTTATACTGTATATTTCTTGCATTTTTGATTAGTATCTTAAGGCCTACAGGGCCTAACCCCAACCCTCCCCCCCCCCCCC